AGTAAAACCAATAGGAAAATGAGGCGGTAGGGATCAAAAAAAAGTTAGATAAGGATCAAACCATTAAACTACTAGCCGTAGTAATACTGGTAGTAGTAGTCGTCGTCGTCGTCGTCGTCGTCATCGTCGTTGTCCTCATATAAAGCCGAAAGATCAACAGGGAAACTCTACCAAAGACCTCTAGAACCTCATGAGAAGCCGAGGCTACGTCGAAAACCGCTGAGCCCTTGAAGCTCTTACAAGCTACTCTACTGGCATGACACATTCAGCGGCATGGGCTTTTAGGGTGTAAAGGTCACGCACGTTGCAGTGCCATGCTGGCACCATGCTGTCTGCTTCACTGTTTCGAGGCTATAAAGACCTTGCCACAACTTGAGCGGCATCGGCAGCGAAGGTGTTTTGCGTTCGGCTCTAAACCCTACACCGTGGGTGCTACGCTGATAATGTATTTCTATATATGCAAGCAACAACACCGGAGGACCTCAACTACTTGCTGCGCCGTTGCATCGCCAGTAATGCCCAGCGACTGCCGTAGCCTTCTAAGCAAAGCGAAGAAACCAAAAAAAAGCCGGGCAAGCCACAAGCCACGCCGAGCCAAGCCAAATGCAGAGAAGAAAAAAAACGAGGCCAAGCCGAGCCAAGCCAGACGCAGAGGAAAAAAAAGAGGCCAAATCATCTTATCAAACCGTTCCCCGTCAGAACCCGTCTACTCAAGGAACTTATCCAGGGAAAACCACAGACTACCTAACCTCTTTCGGTACAACGGAACCCTAAAGGACGAAAACATTTCATTTCGCACTCGCACCTCCGTCAGTCTTCGCAGAAGCTGCTCCATCTCTGCACCACACGTGGCTGCAACATGTGTTGTAGGGTCTTAAGTTATAAAGGCTCCTTTTTGTTCGAGTCCCTTTTCCAAGTGCTAGTTTTAAGAGCTTAGTAGTAGGGTTTTGGAATCTAAGGTTTCGGGATGTATAGGGTTTGAGTTCCAACAACTCAACAAACCGCAGAGTCTTGCTTTGGAAGCGGGCAGAGCACTTTTCTCTGTCACGGTAAATAAGACTGACAGAGCTCCGAAAATCCCGTGATCATACATTCCGATCCCTTACCGCTTCAAGGCCTACTTTTTCAGCATTGCAGGAAAAATACCGGAAAAAAACATGGAAGCTAAGCAAAACTAAAGCAAGCTAAGAAAAGCTACGAAAAGCTAAGAAAAGCTAGAAAAAACTAAATATTTCCCACAATGATGTTGTGACTGGAACGGTGGTTTAAGGTCCTAGTCCTAGACGAGCCTGTTGTAAAAAGGGGCGTGGGGATTGAGGGTTCAAAGTTTAGGGCTTTAGGTTGAAAAGACAAAACTAAAAAAAGCTAAAAGAAGCTAAGCATTTCCCAGTTTTCGGCCGGGTCCGTAAAATTCCACGAACTGCTAAAAAAATCCTTTTTCTCGCTGGATTATCAGCGAAAGATTTCTTCAGCTTTTTGGGCTTTCATTAAAGGACTTCTCTAGGATTTCTCTAGCTTTTTTTAGCTCCTTCAATGGTGCTCCAGCTCTGAAGAAGCATGCTTCAGATAGGTAAGTCATGCGAATTTACGACTTGACGGAGCTGTTGCAAAAGTCCAAGAAATGTCTAAGCATACAAAGGTGCGACATGGTGCGACAACAGCAGCGACCGCAATAATCTGATAACAGTCGTATCAATAAACTGCAGTGCTACCAACACTTTGGCAAGAGTTGTAGTGATGATGAACAATGATGCCCTTGAGGTCGGCATTTCCTGCCTTTCTCCAGAGCGTACAAAGCGGCTGCTGGAGATGCGGCAGGGCTCTTCTGAACTGAGCCAATGCTTGATCAGCCACAGCTCAGAGCGTAGGGCGTACGACGGAACAGATGCTGGCAGCGATGCAAGACGTCCAGGCTTGTTTCGGGAATGATCACACGCGGGTGAATCAGAACCGCGAATTTGTTGCAGGCTCATCGCTCACTGACTTGCATCGTGGCCGGATTTCTCAGGTCATCAGCTGCTCCTGGCTCGCGGTGTCTTTCCAGCTGACTCCACAGAAACCGCGTAAACTAACTGTTCCGAAGAAGCTAGGCATTCAGCTGTCCTCATCTTCGACCGCCCAGCATTTTTGACTTTGGCACGACTCGATCGTTTCACATTCTGGAGCTGCATGACAACCCGGCGTCGCGACGATGGTGTCATGGTAACCTCGGTTTCTCCATATCCCAGACCAGCGAAATGTTGCGCTGACGATCCTAGATGCGTGCCTTGCCGCCAGCTCGGTGTACAGCAGAGCCATGTGGGAACGTCCAGAGCTGTCTCATCTGGGCACACGATCGGGCTGCACTCACGGATGAGTACAACAAACAAACAAGCACCCATCGGCGAACCTGAGATCTTTGGCTGGGCTGCAACTCCACCACCTCGATCGGCCACCGCTCGCAACAAACGATCAATGCTTTGGGGTCTCGCCTTAGGCACTGGCGAGTAGAGTCATGTTGTCACAGCCCAAGCCTTGCTCCTGGAAAGACTTGGTCTCACATACCCTGAGGCCCTAAGTCCTAAACCTTCCATGCCCCATGAGGTCTTTATACTGCATCCCAGCCTACGGCACCTGTTGGTTTTAAACCTCGTGCTTGGCAAACGGGCAGCAGACACTGCGACGGCGCGCGAGTACGTTGATTTTCCGCGAGCTTCTTCGCACTCGCAGCCCCTTATGGCTGGAAAGACATCTCCCGGGCACGGAGGAGGCTCGCCACGGTGTCGTTCACCGGTGCTGCCAGCCCCTGCTTGGCCGCCTCGGGCCTCGCTTGGAAAGGCCATGAAACGAAACGCGCGGGGTGGTTGGGGGTTTTTGCAGTCAAGGAACGGGATGGCTCCATTGATCACCTGGCAGCAAAACCGAACGAGCGCAGCGCAATGGAGATATGTACCTTTCAATAGTCTTGCTGTGCCGTCCAGCCGCATCCACTTCTGAAGTTTGTCTCTTTCGATGATCCTGTGCCATAGAGGGATAAGTGTCCCTGACGGTAGACGCAAACTTGTCGACAAACCTTAGTGCCGAGTCATGCACTGCCAGCCACTACCTCAAGCCCCAGCCAGTGGCAGAGACAACTTAACGGAGCTGCAGAAGACTGGCCACAACCACCAGCAGCAATTAGCATTGTCTGACGTTGCAGCACCGGACATCAGATCGAATCTAGTTGCTCTTCCAGATCCTCAAAGCCAAATTTGATGCCTTTGCTCTTGCCCACTTCATAGGCCTTTCACAGTCAGGTGTTCAGCCTGCTCGAAACAGCAAAAAACCGCCAAGCGCGCAGAAGGATGAGTGCCTCTTTGGCGCAGGCCACGGCGACCTGCTTAGTCCGCTCAGCTCGGGAAGATGAATCTCTGCAGAGAGGGAGGCGAAGCGCCTGCTTTGCGAAGGGGTTATCCACCATCTCTCCGACTTTGAAGTCGGTGATGGCACACGTCCCTGATGTGGCAAAGGCGCATGAGCGCGATGACAATTACGAGGATGGTGCTGGGGCTGACTATGAGGAGATTCCTCTTGCTCTTCATCGCTTAGCCAACTTGGTGCGGACGGTTCCCTGCAGGCTGCTTCGTCCCTGCATACTTCAGAGCTACGTCATCAGTGCGAAGTGGTCCAGGCAAGAAAACTTCAGACGGTACACCTCCGACGAACACGTTGCAGATCAATTTCTCCCATATTTGTTGCTGAATGTCGCTGGCTGCCTGCATTGGGGTGTGCGAAGACACGCGTCTCTGCAACGGGACTGCGGTAATCGCGAGACTGTCTTCCGGTCTCTTTTCAAGCAAGCCCGGCCTCAACATTGAAGCCCACGAAAGACCAGATGCACGCGACCTGCGATTGAAGAAAACAGTTCGAACCTCAGGAAATTCGGATTCGGACACACTCGGAAAGCGAGAGGAGCGAGAGGGAGAGGACTCAGAGGACTGGAGAGGCCCTGCGAGAAGCCTTCTGGAGCCGCTCCGTGGCTTTCTGTCCGAGCTTGCCGAGGATGATGCGATTCATGCTCTTGTGCTCAGCATGGCCTGGTCCTGACGTTGGTTTCATGTGTTCATAAGGTATACATTTGCTTACTCACATACTTCTCTATTGATTTGCTTAGGCTTAGTTGGCTCTGGTAACTGTCTGGAAAACAGGTTTAGGGTTTAGGGCTTTTTTTAATAGGGCTTCGGGTTTAGAGGTCTGCCGGCGTCCTCGCATGCATGCGCCGAAGTTGCTGGCGATGCCCAGCATCCCGCGCCCGGCATCCACGTGCTTCAGCAGGCGCTCCGCGGCACCGAGGCCGTTCTGGATGGACAGGATCACCTCTATCAAATTGAATTAGATTCAGGGCGCTGCGGATGTATAGGTATGTATGTGTGTATGTATATATATATACCCATATATATATATATATATCAGCACACCATATAACACGTAGCACAATCTCCACATGCATTTATGTATCATGTTGTATTATTCTACATGATACTATATCATATCATATCATATCATAACATATCATATCATATCATGGCATTTCATAGCATATTCTTTTATAGTATATTTGTAATATGTTCTACTATATAGCATTATATTGCATGAGAACTAGATTCTACTATACAGGAATACTATGTTATATTACATTGTATTATATCATATTACAGTGTATTATGTTATATGATGTTATATGATAACATGATGATAATAATGATGATAATAAAAAATTATGACAATATTGTGCTAAATATTGATCTTGAAACTCTATTATTATACTATGTTGTGTTATACTATATTCTCTCATTCTATTGTAGTCTGTTGTATATATCTTTACTATGCCATATTATATTACATTATGCAGGATCACCTCAAAAGTGCAATTGGAAGCCTTTTCGAAGCACTCTCGGCTCGGGGTGCCGTTCCGCCGGGTCGCGCCATCCTCCTTCGTGAGCTTCGGCGCCAGCTGCGCCGCAGACTCCAAGTCTCTCATCTTGGTCGCAATGATGACCTGAGCCCATTAGGGTTTAGGGTTTAGGGTTTAGGGCTGGGCTCGGATCATGTCGACATTGCCTTCTGCCCCGTTGCAGCCCGGAGGCCAAATCGCTCCGCGGCACGTCGTAGGCAGAGAGGGTGGCGTTCACTCGCACTGTAAAGTCCCCCGTGGGCCCTTGGAGACGAAGGCCCTGCGCTCTCTGCTCTGCGCTCTGTTTGAAAATGAGAGCGGCCGGCTCCCCACCTCTTCCCGCATTTTCGAGATGTGTTCGGGCCAAACGTCCACGACCCAGACCTTAAGGAATCAGCACAAGAAGCTCACAAGCTCTCAGGCTTTAGTTGGGGCCGCTGGGCTCCTTGCCTCGTGCCCTGCTCTGGCAAAGAACGCTGCATACCTTGCGAAGCAATCCTATTTCTTCACGAACGAGGCATGTGCATGTGCGCTTGTTTCAGCCGGCAGTCCAGCTTGCATTCAAGGTGTCTAATCAGTCTAATCCAAGCCGTGTACAACCCATAAATTAGCAGAGATGCACGCATCCCATGGCTCCACAGCCCAGAATGGCAATGGAGCCCTTGCCATCTGCAAGCAAATCACGAGCAGCTGGCAAACGATTTGCAGAGGTCTGCGAGAGTCAGGTCTGAAACAGGGTCTTGTGCCCACCCACTTTCTAGCACCAAGTTACCCCTGCCACCTCACGGCCAGGCATGCTGCATGACTTCGCGTGCAGTGCCAGCAACCTACCCAAGGCACCTGAAGCAACATCGGTTCTTCGCCGCTTTGTCTCCGGGCCCTCGATTGGCACGACCAGCTTCCCACCAACCCCGTGCCTTGGCTATGCGGTCAGACGGGCACCCGCTGCCCTCTGTCGCTGCTGCCAGGCTGCTTGGCGATGAGACTCTCGACCTCAGATCATCCCATGGCATTCCCTCGGAGCGGTGTCGAAGAGCGCTGGGTCTGGCACGAAGCCGTTTGCCTTCAGCTCTTCCACGGTCTCTGCCAAGAAGGCGGCTGCATGGGTGCCGCGGCGTTTCGAAGTTCCCACAGCCTGGAAGAGGCCACCACGGGGTGCAGAGGCCGGAAGGGAAGGGACGGGCAAAGAGCAGCAACAAGCCAAAGACCGGTCCTGTTTCACCTCGGCAAGTCAAAGTGCCCGATCATGTGCCACTCAATCAAGTTGCGCCTAGGTGAGAGCTCGACAAGTTGCGGCAAAGCTGCTGTCATGAAGTGACCCTCCAATATTCGCCCCTGAGCTCATGCTTGCGACATCTGGGTCTAGTGACCATGGATCCCGGCCCTCCAGCAATCTAGCAGCAATCTAGCAGCAATCTAGCAGTCAGCACTTCGAAGCTGAGGGCCCGTCCCCCGGAACGTGTAGGACATCGGATAACAAGCGCTCTCGCAGGTTCGCGAGCACGTCTGCCTGAAGTTTCGACCCTTCGCTCCTTCTTTTGCAAGCCATCTCCTGCCCGCCTGTCCATCCACCAGGAGCTTCAGAGCTGCGTCCATGGAGTCGACCTGAGTCCGTGTAGAAGGGAGGTGGTGAGCATTGGGGGGTGGGCTTCCACTCCCCGCCTTGATGACGCTGGCTCGACAGATGTTTTTGTCCAGCCACAGGCCGAAGGCCGTTCCCCCCATGCAGGCGATTCGAACCTCACCATCGCCAGCTCGTGCCGGAATCAGTGCACAGGCGCTGTATCGGCCAGAGGATTTTCAACCAAGATGCTGTCGGGGAGTCCACTTCCTCTATGCTTCTCCTTGTTTTGGGCACTTCAAGCACTGGGTCGACTTCTTGAGTCGAGTCCATGCTGTCGCAGCGTCAGCTTTGAGTTGCTGGGCACCAAGTAGGTCGCGGGTATCTCGACGTAAGGCTTGCTAAAGGCAATCCTGAGCCGACACCGTAATTTGCAACTGTCACACTGTGTTGCTACCTCGCATCCGCACAAGGAGCCCGAACGCAGCCACGGCACTTTTCTTCTCGTTGAGGCTCTGCTCCTATGAGGGCAATGTCCCAGCAACCTGGCAGGAACACCCGCTCGGCTCGTCCATCCCTTCCCTTCCACTTGACCCTGCAGCCTTCGTCCGCGGCATCGCCCAAGTCCTTGCACAAGCACGATGACTACCGCTCATATTCTTACAGACTGCCAGTGTGAATACCATCATTCGGCCACCGATGCCCTTCTCAAGTACTGTATCCTGAGGTAGCAAGTGTAAGCAATCTTCTCAGCTACCTGAATCTCAACACCCTGAGCCTGAAACCCTCAAACCCTGCACATTGCACCTCAAGCCCTTGACCCTCCAAGACTTTCTAGGACCTGCGTGCACCACGTCTCCTTGGGGTTGGGAAATGGCACCAAGCGGAGCGCAGTACCCAGCCGCTTGGCGATTTCGGCGGCTAGGTCCGGTGAAACACCTGCAGCACAGAGCCATCTGTATATGACAAAAAAATCACAGAGCACCGGCACAAGTTGTTTCGCCTTCTGGGGCGCCACTGGCGCTTTGGCCAGTGACCAGCAAGAAGTTGGCCAAGTTGATTCCAGCCTCGTCACATCTTACGTTCTTCGACTCTTGCAGGAATAGACGACAACGTTTCCTCACGCAACCTCTGAGGCTTCGACTCGCAGGACACCAGTCGGTGCTAGCTGTCTTCTCAGCTCATCGACAGTCACCATGACACCGTCTTTCACATGTGTCCAGTCTCCTCTGCTTTTGATTCTACGGCTAAGTCGTTTCGTATCCTACAGAGTTTATTAGGTACGTCTGGCAGCGAGAGGGTCTCTATCACATAGACAATACGGAAGAATGGAGACTGCAATTCCAATTGAGCAGTGCTCGTCATCTTTTGCTGAAACCCCAAGCGAGGATGGGCATGTCTCAAACTTTGTCTATGAGCAGCCTCAAGGCAAACGCGAAACTCGACTGATTGAATTTCGAAGCATTTGCAGATCCGCGCAAATGCTTTGCATGCAAGATCATGTTCTCATTGCGGCATTACGATGGCACACATGTCGCATGACTCAAGCACAAAAGGCTGCAGAATGCACCAGTGCCCAAAAGAACCAAGGAAGATGCGCCTCTCAAGCTTCCTCGCAAGGCGAAAGGCCCCTCACGGATCTTTTTGCTCCACACTTTTTGACGGCGTTCAGCTTCGCTCACGAACCTTCGCATGCTCAGCCGGCGTCCTGCACGTCAGCTCCTCATCACACGACAGCTGAGTTCCCTACATCTGCGGAGTTGCGGAGTTTTTAGCACCCAGTCCAAGGCGTGAAGTCCGGCAGCAAACTCTTCCTTCAGCAGGTCCTGCTGTCCAAAGCCAGCTGTCATCAGCTATCATGGGCTGCTATGGTGGCATTTTGCCTTTGGAGTTTGAGGCTCTACGTCGGAGCATCGGCCGTCCTGGACTTTGCGTTGGCGTTCCAGCTTGCGGATGCCCTCGAAGGCAGCAGACACCACCTAGCAAAGCTACTGCTCTGCATGGAAAGACATGAGCTGCTCAGCTTGGAAGTGCGGATCCTTCCTAACTTGAAAGGTGGCGATGAAAGCTAGGGGGGGCTGAGGGAGGCCGGCAGGATCAATCAGGCTGCATCTCCAAAGCCTCCAAGCACTGTAGCATGTCCTTCTTGTGCGGTCACCAAAACTTTGAACTAAACTTCCTGGCCAAGAACATGGTTCATCTACTTGCCATGCCTTTTGTCAACACGTTGTCTACACATTGGTTTTGTGATCAGAAGGGGCGGGGGTTAAGGCGGGGCCTAAGCTGGAAGGGTGCTGTACTTCAGTCATGCTCCCGACGCCATTGGACGGGGCTTCTGCCTGAAAAATCAGGCCACTAAGAGGTATATAGGGGGGGCACATCCCGGCACCTACCATTAACGTCTAATGCCTGTTGTCTATCAGACCAAGACCGTGAAAGTGCTGGCAGACCCCATGCTTAAACCGATACAAGACAACTCCCCAAGCTCCAGAAGAGTTACGTTTCGCGACATACTCAAGCATCCGACCTCGACCTTGAAGTGTGTCTCAGGGATCTGAGCTCCGGCGACTCCTGGCAAGAACTATTGATTGTCCCCCTGCTGCATCCTGATAACCGGAGCTGTGCATCAGCATCGCCTGCGTGCCCTCGATGGGCCGCAGAATCGTCGTGGATCCGTAGCTCTGAAGGTTGCAAAGCGCTTGAAACCTCGCCAGCTCGGTTGGGGGTTGGGCCAGGGGACCGTGAGGCAAGACACCGCCTTCGTGTGGATCGCGGTGGCAATCGGACCACGTGTGGGTCCTGGCTCCGCTCTCCTGGCACCACAGCACTGAGACCATCAGAGCTTCGCTGGCTATCGAGGTGGCAAGACCTGCTCACCGGCTGCTTCGGCACCGACACAGCCTGCACGGCCTCATCTCCTCGCGTTGGGCGAGCAGAAGCTCAAGCCATACGGCATGCTCACACGATGCCTTCTGCTTTCCTGCGGGCGCGCCAACTCCACCATATCCTTCGAAGATCGTAGATGAACTAGAGCCATTGCGGCCTGCCTCCCCTACCCTGAGATGCTTGCAGCACCGCAGAGGCAAGGCCCGCTGTGAGCAACGCGGCACATGAGCCGCGGGATGTGACTTGCATGAGTCCTCGTCACCCTCGGGTCTACAAGGACTGATGCAATCTAGAACTCTGCAGTGTACAAGCTCATCGACGAGTTGAACGGTGCCGTTCCCCTGGCTCTAAGTCGCGAGTTGCTAAGGGCGACCCAGCGCAATGCGGCTGGGCCTAGATACGAGCATTTTAGGTTCACTCTTTGGGCCAGGTTGCACAGGAAGCTACGTTTGGCAGCCACAAGTCTCAAAACCATGCGTTCCGGAAGCAGTGCATGCAACATAATGAAACGCTTGCCCTTTCTCCACCTCTTCAGACTCCAAAACCTCTCCGTAAAAACCAAGCTACATGTAGGGACAATCAACAGGCCGATTCCTGCTGCTTTCAATGACCTTGCTTACTCGCCCGCGCCAGGGCATAAAACGACCAGGACCTTCCCGGCTATTTCAGGCGTAAGCTCATGTAAGCTGGTACTGTCTGCTTTACTCATGGCACTGGCAATACTGGCTGGAGCACTTACTACAAGATAACGCGCTGCAGCCTGAAGATCATGCCAGAGCAAACAAATCAAAGGCATCACTCACTTCTTCGCAACTGGATACTTCACCTTAGATAGTGGGCCGGCAACTCAAAACGAATCCCGACGTTTGTGCGGCGGCTTTGGCAGTAAGCATCGCAATCCGCGCGGCTGGCTTCATCGCCCCGATTGTCTTGGCCTCGGCCGCACTGTGGCTGTTTTGAGTTTGGGTGTGCTTTCGTGTCCTTGTTGCAACCAACTCCTGCTAGTGTGTCCCATGTCCAGCAACAATGCTAGCTTGCTTGAGTCATAGGGTGCACTGCAGGCACGGCTTCGTAGAGTCGTGGGGCAGAACTCGCATGGCCCAAGCGGGTCTAGAGCTTCCTCGTCTGCGAGCTCTGGAATCCCGTCTCGGCCGCTTAGAGGACGGTGTACAGCAAGCCCAGGACACCCTTCAACTGCGGCCGGAAAGGCCAGGCTCCCTGGGGCCACGGCTGCGACATCCAGCTCCGTCTCGGTTTGCTTGCCCGCGTAGAGCGCATTCACCTCTTGCCCAAAGCCCCCCAAAAAACTGCCTTTTCGACAGAAGCAAGGGTGGGCAGAGTGCAGAGTGGGCAGGCCTTTCCAAACCAATCCAAATCTGTCAAAGCCGACTTGACATCGGCTTCGATCAAGTTGCGCGCATCGAGCTTAATGTCCACAAAGTCCTCTCAGATTACCCAGGGCTCGGGTCCCGCAAGAACCTGACCCTCGGCCCTGAAAAGCATGAAGCTGTCCTTCCAGGGCAGGGCGTTGTACTTGTTGCCCACATAGGAAACCTAAGTTTCGCGTCTCACGAATCCAAAAAAAAATGTGGTACTGTGATACAGCCATCACTCCAGACGTCGATCCGACACGGTATCGCTACACGCAAGACTGGCAGGTCGGGATTCCAATGAAAAATACTTCCGACCGAAATCACAGCCGCTCGGCCACAAGCCAACGCCTCCTGAAATCGAACTGAGTCTTGCCTTTGCCGGACGAGGGACGCTATTGTCAACTTTGCCGGGGATGTCCGCCACCACGCCCAAGGGTATCTCTAGCTGCTGCTTAGCAGCGCCCACCTAGTCAGCTTCATCAGGAGCCCGAGGACACATCATGGCCCAATCTTTTGCACCGAGACCCCGACAGCGATCCGTTGCAGCGGCCGCTTGCCGTAGAGGAGCGCCACCTCCACGTTGCAGTGGGCATGGAAGTCATGTTTGCAACATTGGCCCCCACAAGCCAGATGCCAAAAAAGCTGGGTGATCTGCTGAGGGGCATGTCCTTGGAATGAAATTAAGCATGACCACCTGGCAGCCCCAGACACTGCTTGTCAGCCTTCCTTCCGGGCTCACTTGACAAGCCTACCCCCCGGCCTACCCTCGGTCGGTATAAAGGCAGTTCCTTTGCTTGAGCCAAAAATATTAAAAACGGCGATCAGCGAAGGGCAAAGTCCCCAAGGCCCTAAGATTCAAGGCTCGGGGGCGATTTTCCCTGAACTGATTGCAAGAGGACCTCAAAGAATGGCAATCCCGACATGCCCCATGCCAAAGAAAGGCTCGCACTGGGATTTGTCCTGCAACTTCCTCAGACTTCGAGAAAGGTCGCTAGGAAGCGGAGCTTTGACTGTAAGAAGTCTGCCTTCCAGGTCCCGAAGGCGAATCCGTGCGCAGTGCAGAAAAAGTCGCTGCGAAGATGCAAAACCTCTGCCATAGACGACGTCACCCACAATCGGGCGTCCTATGCTAGCGAGGTGCACTCGAATTTGGTGGGTTCGGCCAGTGAGTGGCCTCACCCGAAGGAGAATCACTTCGGCACCTTCCGAGGTACCAGCAAACCGCGATTTTACAAGGTACACCGTGTGGGCCTCGCGGCCTTCTGCCGCAACCTGCGTGCGGGAGTTCTGTCCATCCACGCCCGCCGTGAGTAATGGATGAGAAATCTTTCCCGTGGTTCCCACGTCCCCCAGAGTGGCACCCTCGCACAAGCACACATACTCCTTCTGCACAAGCCGGCCAGCAAACTGTGCCTGGAAGAATCTTGAAGCAACCTCGCCCACAGCAAGCGGAAGAACTCCCGATGTTTGCGCGTCCAGTCTCGAGACCATACACAGCCCTATCCCGGTTTTGGCTAGCTTCGCAACAGCTGATTCGGTGGTCACCCCTGGTGGCTTACACAATACAACTAAACCCGCTTGGCTGACAAGGACATTCTCCATCCGAGGCAGGGCTGGGCTGGCTGTGCTGGCGCCGCTACCTGTATCTTGCGGCAGATGTTTCTTCCACAAGTCCAGCAGCTTCAAGAGAAGGTGATCACAGCGCTCGACATCGGCCGTCTGCTCCTTGATGGCCTGGAGCACAGAGCCAGCCATGGCTCCATCAGGAAGGATAGTTGCCCTGAGCTGCGATTCGAGCAGTAGAAGCGTGGACTCCCAGGAGCTTCGGCAAATATGGGCCGTGGTCGCTGCACAAATCCCTGCCTCAATGCGCTCCCTGTGCAGGCACTCGAACAAACACAAGGCTGCCTCCCAGCGCTGCGCACATGAGGAAATGGCCGCATTGAAACACACCTCATTGCGCTCTAGAGCTTTAGTTGACATCTGCGAAAGGAGATCAGATGCCGCTTGCCACCTCTGCCCTTGCGAACATGCACTGACCGCAGAGCCGGAACAAACAAGGTCTGGGGAGAATCCGGGCTTCCCTGGCTGTCCGAGCATTGAGGATAGTATCGCAATGGAGCGCACCCAGTTCGAGCACTTCTCGCAAGCAGACATAGCTGCAGCAGCGGTGTAGGTAGTGATTTCGCTCAGGGCATCATGATGCGAGAGAGCTCGCTCCCACTGGTGCTGGTGCGCGTGGGTGTTCAGGACAGTGGTATGTATGACATCATTGACAGGAAGGCGCCTTCTTCCCATGCTGCGCAAGCAATCCAATGCGAGCACCCAATCACCACAGCGCATCACGGATCCGAAGGTGTACTCATTCGGGATGATTCCAGAATCATCTGCGTGCTGCAGCACCGACAGGGCAGATGGCCAAAGGCCGCCGGGACCGGATGCAATCGCAGCGGAATAGTGGAAGACGTCGGCTTGAACTCGTCCCGATCCGATGAGCGCCAGCAGCTGCAAAGCCAAGTCAGGGCGATGGGCCTTGGCCACGCTTCGCAGCACAAGGGTCCATCTCCCCGGACCCCAGCTTTCGGGCCGGATCACCTCTGCGACCTGGCGTCTGGAGGGCACATCGAGCCGCAGGAGTGCCCCGACGTCCTCCATGACACTCCCCAGGCGGGCTCAACGATAGCCCAACTTTGAGCAGGAGATTCTGCGGCAATCCGCAGCCTTGAATATTTCTGAACCTTTCCAAGACCACCCTGAAGCCCTGAACCTGCACCGGTACTCTAACCCGCAAACCCTGAAGGAACGTGAACTCTCGTGGCTCCTTCTGCGGGCTCTTGGCAATGTTCGCGTCTAGGAAGGCCGAGCACCTCGGCTTCGATGAAGGAATATCTAGTGCGGAGATTCGGTTTAGGGGTTAAGGGTTTATAGAGTCCTTAAGCTTTGCTGCGAGAACTATTAAGGTCTGCATGTTAGGCTCCCTTCTCTTCTGAAACTCCCTTGTGGCGAGGACGTCACAGCACAGGTCTTACCAGCCAAGCAACGCCTTCGAGAGAGGCGCCTGACTTCGCCGCCGGCGCCTCCGCATGCAGTTGTTCGTGTTGCTGTTGGTGTCAATGTGGTTGCTGGTGGTGGTGGGCTTTATGGCAGCAGTACAAGTTCAAAACGGGAGCAGTCGCATCAGAGGCTTGCAGGAAGCACGGAGCCTGAGGTGCGGCAGCAGGAAGTTGAGCAATTCTTGACCTCAGTGAACGGTGCTCGCGACAACTCGAGCACCAGTATGAGCTGTCCACCATGCGTCTCCAACACAATGCTGCGCCACATACCTCGAGCATCCTTGAGCATCCTCGCCAGCTATGAAAGAGCAACCCAAATCATGAACAACTTCTCTGTGGTTCAGGCGTGGGAAACGCAAAGAGTGGGCCATGTCCCCAAGTGTAAAGACTGAAGGTTCCCGGCTTGAGAACTTCTCAAATATCCCATCGCAGCCTCAAGGTCAGGCGACGATTTTACATGGTGGATCTCAGTATCTCGTACCTTACCTTACTGGCATATGATGGGTGGCTGCACGGTGTGCCGACAATCATCCTAGCCCTTTTGTATTCGCACGACTATTCTAGACCCGGAACTCAACACCCTAAAGGCCCTAAACCAAGTGGTAAGTAGCAGTGTTGTGCCATAGAACCGAGAGAGACGTCCGCGCCTATGGCGAGGTACTGATCTGCAGGGCCGAGGCCCCTTCTCTTGACCTGGAACCAGCAGGTTTAGGCCTTTAGGCTCTGGGGGATGGGGAGAAATGAATATGGATGAATATGGATGAATATGGATTGTTGCGGTTCCCAGGTCACTTGCCTCGGCTTCTGCTGAGATCTTCTGCTCGGTGGCCTTGCGAAGGGCGGAAGAGAACACAAAGTCTGTACAATAATCTACCGAATTGCTTCGCACAAGTGATGCGCTGCGGCTTACTTAGCTTCGAGATTCATCCCACGGAAAGTCTTTGCGCAGTGCAGTGGGGCCTTCCTGGATGCATCCTTCTTGTAAGCAAAGTCTCCGAGGGAGCGCGACAGGTTCTGAAGCGATGGGCTCGGCTCGGCGCTCTCTCTCTCTCTCTCTCTCTCGCACGTACTTTTCCTGGGGAGTGCGCCAAGTTACCGTCAACGCGGCCATCGGCAGAAACGAAGCCACCGGCCTGTGTTCGAGACGACTTTGCATTGAAACAAGCATGCAGGAGGTGAGGGATGGCGTCTGATCCTACGCCCACGCCCCTCCCGTGTTTGCCTGCGTGATCCGCCTGCGCTCGCTCTTCAGCTCGGGCTTGTGATCTCGTGACAGGTTTTGAGCACGACCTCCCCTGCCAAGCCGTCCAACAGCAACAGCTGAGACTTTGATCTGTGAAGAGAACCTCACACGAACCCCACCTGGCCAGCACACACCTGGAGTCACCGGCATTTGCGCAAAACACCTGACGCAGGGACTTGAATCCGAACACACATGATGCAAGATGCTCGATCGGATGTCCCTTTGTTGACATTCTCTGGCGAGCTCCTCTCGCGCTGCTTTTTTGTCGCAGATGGAAACGACAAGACCACACCAGCAGCACTGCTGCGCAGGCTTGCGCCGCTGCACATGGGCCACGAGTAAGCTCACAGATTTCGGCAAGCTACGGGCTCGGGATCCGGGGACAGCTCTTCACGGCCGAGTCGACATCTTCCCTCCTCGCCGCCTGTCTCTGGCTCCTTCCACTCGATCCTATTCAGAGGACTCCTTCTCACACTGCCCGCAGCGAAAAGCGGTCTCAGCCGTCACGACTTCGCAAGCCGCTGCCAGGGCGTCTCGCATCCTCTGGCACTGGACTGGGATCCTTGGACTGCGCAAATGGGCCAGTTGGCACATTCGCCCAAGGGGGGAGGGGGGTCGCTTCGCCTCGCTGCACCGTCACTATTACTAGTAACTCGCTTCGTGCACTGGGGCATCCGCAGAGCTCTGCAACTGCCGGACCGGCCTGCGGATGCAGGGATTCTGGAAACGATCGTCTCATGCCATCCTAAGTCCCAGCTTACTGCTTCATGACTGCTTCAGTGTGTCCGTTTGCCAGAGTGTGGAGGCACTCTGCAACAGAACTCCATACCATATCAGCTCGTACATGCATGACTCCACCTTGCCACCGAAGGTTGGTGCACAGCGCCGATGGCTGCCGCAGACGAGCTTTGCCTCACTGCAGTGCTGGACCTGATCCCTCAAACGGGGAATGCTGATGGCGAACCTCCTCTTCGCAGCGGCTGCCCAGCCTTTGCCAGTTCCAAACTTTCGTCAAGCGGCATCCGACCTGAGGCTCCTGCCTTTGAGGACGGCTTGCTTGTCCACAGGGCACCTCTTGAGAAGCCTGAATCCGAAGTCAAGGTTAGCCAACCACTGCCCAGGCCCAACCCGGCGTCGCCTGAAGGTGCAAAGAGTCCATCTCCAGGCGACTGGGATCTCAGGGTTGGAGGAAAGCTCCTCGGCTGTCGGAAGCAAGTTTCGCTGCCACACGGTCAGAGCTAATGAGTCAGAGTCGCATCTTCCAAGGTCAAACCATCCGACCTGGGTTCTTCACCCGATCTGAGATACGCTTTGGCTGCTTTGGATAGATAACATACTATACTATGTTATAAGATACTATACTATACGATACCATAATATGCAATACTACACTACATCATGCTATACTATACTATACTATACTATACTATACTATACTATACTATACTGCACTATATACTATACTATACTATACTATACTATACTATACTATACTATACTACACTACACTACACTACACTATACTACACTATACTATACTGCACTATACTACACTATACTACACTATACTACACTATACTACACTATACGATACTATACTTTTCTATGTTTCTTTTGCGACCTCTTGGTCCGAAGCCTCGACTGGATGTTCACGGAACGGGACCTTGACATCCGACACCTTGCTGCACGTCCATGATTGCGCACTCCCAGTGGAACATAGCAGCCGTGAAACCTTGAAACATCGCACAGCTTTTTCCATGTGCAGCCACTGAATCTTCATGTGACTGCTCGCGGATGGAAGGAAACTCGACACGCCGTTGTCGTAGTTCTGGAACGCTGCATTTGATAAGATTTGATAGCCGCCTCGTTCGTTTCCACAAGACCGACAGCCTGACCTCCGAGTGGTTGGAGCCCTTCTTCCTGGCAGTGGTTTCTGCAGCTTGGAACAACAGTCCACCTAAGCCTTTCCTTATTCGCTGAGTTCATAAGCCTAAACAGTGCAAACTTTCAGTTCGATGGGGGCTGCTACTGCTACTGCTACTGC